GAGCTGGAATGAGAAAAGGATAAATTCACGTGCATTGCTGTATAAATTCCAATTGAGCATTCTGTAGTGGGAGGGGCTTGCCCTTGCACCACTGATCCTTGTAATGGGAGAAGCCTTGGCTGGCAAAACAGCACTTAGACACGACTGACTGAACCACTAGACTGAGCTGTTAAATTTTATAGAAGCGATGGCTGGGGCTGTGTTATGTATGAATAGTGTGAATAGCAACACCTGTGACCATAACTTTGCTAATGTAAGTCTTAGGGCACAATAGTCAATGGAGATAGGATGGGTTTTGTCCATCAGGAGAAATGGAAAAGACCTTTACCTTGTGTGGTGGAAGAATATTCAAGTTTTGGACTGCAACTGTCCCAGAGCAGCTGCTGCTGCTCTCAGGAGAACACTGAGCCTCAGGTTGATTTCTCGCTTGTCCACTGGAATTCACAATCCCATTCTCTGTTTGCTGAAAGTGCCCCAACGTTTCCTTATGCTGATCCCAAATCCTGCCTTTCTCCATAATAGCTGGTGACAGCAGAAGCAGGCAACTACACGCTGGGATGTTAATACACTGTGGAGTAGCTGCTGTGCAAACGACCACTCAAATCTTAAGGGCCTCCATGGAAGCACCAGATGGCCAAAAGTGATGGCAAATGACCTGTGTGACCACATATCCACATTAAATCCACTTAGGTTAATATATATATATACACATATATATATATATGCTGTCTGTATACAGGACTGCTGCTGGAATTAAGTATGTATGTTTTAAGGATTTTATAGACATTAGGATTTCCTTTTGCTTTTCTGTAAAGCTTGTAATTTTGTTCTTTTGTGAAAATTCTTCATGTGAAGTTGGATGAGGAAGTAAAAAAAACCTACTGGTGTGCATACAAATGTATTTGTGGTCATAGTTGTGAGCTGGAAAATGCTGAACAAATTTGACTTTGGGAAAAGCTGGAATATTCAAGGTCAGTGGTAACTGAAGGAGGTAAAATATAGGAAGATACGCAAGTTTTAGTATTTGAAGAGGCTGTGAAAAGTCATTAGAATTAGCACTTAGTAGAAGTATTTGACTGGGTTTGCACCTGGTTTTAAGTTGGTTACAGTAACTGATGCAAAAAGGTGTCTGTGTAATGCACTTAACTATGTTTACCAGGAGGTACCCTCTGAGCATCTCTTCAAAGAAAGCTGCGTGTGGTGCACCTGCTGTAGAGACAGTTTAGGAACGGTGAGATACGATGCTGCTAATAATTGTGTAGAGGTTTTAGCACAGAGTAGTGCAATTCATTAGTGAACTCGAGCAGGAACAGGTTGTTGCTCGGTTATCTTAACAGTAGATACTCATATAATGTTGACTCTTGAGTTTTAATCTTTTTATTAAGAGCTTTTTATATTAAAAATATGTAATATATATACTTTTATTTTCCCCTCCCTAAAGCAAAACATGTTCTGTAGAAATTGGCAAATAGACTCTCTGCCTTGTCCATTGGCAAATAGACTCTGCATAAAGGCAGACTGAGCTGGCTTTGCAAAAAGAAGTGTGGGTAAGGCTGCCAGGCCAGGGGTGCCCATCTCTGGCCAGGAGGCAGCAGGAGAGCCCTGCCCCAGCCTTGTGCCCTGAGACCCTCACTGCAAACACCCCTTGGAGACCCTTTCAAACCAGCACAGTGCTCCTGCTGCAGGAGCAGCTCCATGGGCCGTGTTCTACTTGGAGAGAGGCCCTCACAAAAATCTGGCTTCAAAAAAACCCCCCACAAAACTATTTAGACACAGAACTGATTCAGAATAAGGAATTACTTAAACTGAACAATGTTTCCCACATTCATCTTTCAGGTTTGAAGGAAAACGATTTTTTGCAACCTCTCAAAAAAACCCAACCCTGTGTAAATAGCCATAAGCTGTAACCATGCCAAATTACAGTGTACAGTAAGTTTCAAAGTGCAACACCATGGTGTGTTGATGCTGATAGCAGGGGAACTTTCTTGTTCAGGATGTTGCTGTTGGTGGCATTACTAATACTGTGCTTTTAAATGTTTTAATCCTTTGTATAGAACTTTAAAGTGTGATGGAAGGTTAAGTTGTTGAGCTACTGTTTATTAAACAATTCTTACATTTAAAAGGTTCACTTTATTATTTCAGAGAAGAAACAATTACAAGAAGAAAAAATTACAAGACTTCTTTAATCCATAAATCCCCAAGAATGGTAGCCAAGTCCTTACTGTTAGGAGCCAGTGAGTTGTTTGCAGTTTGAGAACAACATGTAAAGTAGAAAAAACAAGTTAAAATCAGCATTCCCTGTGTTTGAATTGTGAATGAGTTACTGTCAGGACATGGTTTGTGTACATTTATATTTCAGATGGGCTTCTCACTTTAATTTTTCCAAGATTTTCTTTCTGGGTTTCCTCTGTTCCAGTTGTAGCTAAGTCTGCATAAAGAATAAATCCAGAACATCCAATTGTGTAATTCCTGGGTGTCTTCAGCACCAAACTAAATCAACAGCTCTGATGAAACAGAAGACTAGAAAAGACTTTCAGAAGTGACAGACATCTTGTTAGGAAAACTGCAGCCTTGGTAAACAGTTGTATTTTTGATCTGGCATTTTTGTCCTTGACCGGAATTTTAAGGGTGAACTTATTGAAAAACATGAGAACTCCAGGTTAGACCAGTTCCTCTGGATTGTCTGTGAACAGTGGTGAATCCCAGGGTGTACAGCAGGATGCGGAATGAATCATACATGGAATTGTTACTGACAGAAGGGTGCTTGTTGCCCTTCTGTCTCTGGTTGTGTGCCAGTCTTTACCACTATTGGCAAAATTTGGTCTTGAGTTTAGATATTACTAAGTATTCTTGTAAAATTTACCTGTTTCATGGTTTGCTCCTCTTTTGGAGGAATAACCAACATCTTGTTGTGATATTTGTGATGGTGATTGCAGTACTGCAGTGATAAAACAGCACTTGCAAAACACAAAAACAGTTGGACATGTTGTCTACAGTTTGTATGTTAAAATAAATGACACCCCATCCCCCCAAGTCCTCCTGAATGGTAGTAAATTAAAATGGTTTGAGCTTGAGAAGTATCTTTGCTTAAATTATACCACCTGAATCCAGAAATTTTGCAGGTAGTGTGTTTCAGTTGTAAATATTTAGTAAAAGGGCTGTGCAGTGCTGCTTTGATAGTGTGTTTACGGTATGTGGTGAGTTAAGTTACTTCTGTTGTGCAGGTCATGTATTGTGTCTGAAGGCTGCTAACAGAACTGCATTTTTGGTCATGTTAGTCTGTACCAAGAGAATAAATGTTCAAAGATGTGCTGCTGTGAAGTTTCATTGTCACCGACTTGCAGAAGTACACACTGGCTTTTAGTTCTTTTGTAAATAGTTAGAATTGAGGGAAATCTTGGAACATCTACATTGGATTATTCCCCTCCCCATCGCCCCAACTGTTCACAAACCCAAAACCCAGCAAAAGCAAAACTAGAAGAGCGTTCGTAATGTTAGTGTATCCTTATGGAGGAGATCACCCCCATACATGACTTTCATGTTTGATTTAAAAAAGATAAATAAACCTTCCAAGATTGGCTTTCAGATGCTGCATTTGATCTGAGTAGTTACTGCTCCTCACAGCTATGGATGAAATCCCACTGAGAGTTCACCTGCCTGTCTTACCCCATAAAACTGTGTTGAAAATAAACTTCCACAAATGTTATCTGTAACACAGTAGCAAATCACTGTGATTTGAAGAAACTTGTAATGAAATTGTTTAGAGTGTTTTACTACATCTGTTTTGTTAATAGGTCAGTTGTGTAAATTCTTTACCAAGTACAAATGAATTTGATTCTCCTTTTCCAAAGCAAAGAACATAGAATATGATCTTTCTGCTGAAAAATGCCTCTTCAAATACATCACAGATCTGTAGTTTGAAATGTTTAAAAGTTTTTCAAGTGTCATTTAATGTTTCTTTTCAAAGTGTAGAGAAATATTTAAATGTAGTCTTGCAGGATAAAGACTTAATACATTCTAGAATGTAAATCATCTTTGTAAAAACTACTTCAGTTTTTTCTTGTATAGAAACAAATCTCAGTTGTGAAACCCAAAGATGAATAAAGTTGTATAAAGGGAAGGTTCTTAAATTGCATTTATTAAACTTCTGCTTCTTACAACCCTTTTGACAGAAGGGTTCAAAGCAGGCAGGTGCTTTGTTCAGTTCCCATGGGGGTTTGCGGCCCCAAAGCTGCCCTTGTGTCAGATGGACATTCCAGGCTGGATGGGGGTGGGACTGAGGGATGGGGCAGGATCTGGAGATGAACATTCAGCCACTACAGGTGACCGACTGATGTCTGTGAGCTGAAGGGGTCAGTTGCATTTGAGAGGTTCAGGGTTTGTGTGTGATGATGAGCCAGAAGACAAACTAATTGTCCTGACTCAGCTGGATAGTTAAGAACCAACAAAGGCAATGATTGACAGGAAGACTTTTTGCTCAGGCAAAACGTTACTTCAGTTTCTGGGTAAAAGTGTTCACCAGGTAAACTGGGACTTTGATTACCAACTCATCTTTGACTTTTAAAGCTTATGGCTCATTCCTTGCAGAAGAATGATCAAAATATTACAGACTGAGCCTTAAGGTGTGTGTGTATCAGACTGATCCATGTTCAGAACACAGTGAGGCCAACTCCTGGGATTGGAGCCCAGGTTTGATGAGGCTCCTCTGTAATGAATGTCCAGGTAGGAGTTGACTGACTCACAATAATCAGCTACATCTCTCTCTGGCTTTCTTTTTTCCAGTCAGTACTAGGATGAGCATTATATTGGGTACTGTTCCAGTCCCAGATACGCAGGCCAGGGATAGAAGAGGAAAAACTGGAGTGTTACCTATGCTGCAGTAGTTAATCTTCATTGAATTGTTAGCACGGAGGCATAGAAGGGAGGGATTTGAAGAGGTAGCCATGACACTGAGCTCTGGCACACTCACTTTTTCCTTAAGAGTACACAAAGGCTTCTAAAGTTCATGGTTGGATTTTATTAAAAACACCATCAAGCACAGTCATTTCCAAATACAGAGAATTAAGATGCTTTAGAAAAGCAATTTAGAGAAAACTTGTGCTATTTGCACAAGGTCCCCTGAGATACCTGAAGGGGTTGCAGAAGCACTGAAAGCAACTCATCCTTTCTGCTTGCTCAGTTTCCTTCCTTCAGCTTCAAGCTGTGATTGTTCCTGTTCTCTGGAACTTCCCAAGGCAGTCACACCGGGTCTCTTTTCCTTGAGTCAGAGTTGTCCCCTGAGAAGTCGTACAGCCAGACAACTGCTCCTTTCTGCTGCCCAGCTGTGTGCTTCCACGTGAAAGGATGGCTGCATTTATCCTGAAAGAGGATGGCTTGGAAAAGGTAGAGGAGGTCTCTGTTTCACTAATGTAGTGTACCCTGGCCAAAAAGACCTGAGCTTTGTAACCACAGAGCAAGGGGATGGGGGGTGTGGTTCAGTATTTTTCAAATGAAAGAGGCTAGAGAGGCTTTTGCTATGAAGGGAGGGGGACAGGAAAGCATGAAAAGAGTAGAAATGAAGCATTAGAAAAAAATTGTAGAAGTGCTATGAAGCTGAACATACCCATCTAGTACAAAGGCAGTACAATTTTAAATCTTACAGTAAGGTGTTAAAATCAAGTACGTTTCTGGTTTTGTATTTTTTAAAATCCAAATATTAATAACAAGTGGTTTTAAAATAGGAGAGCTGCTTTGTGACAAAGCTGCCTTGTGTTATTTCAAAGGACAGCTATCCTTAATGGCAGCATGAGGCCCAGAACCACCAGCAGGCAACATTAACTGATTGAAGTTGAGTCCCTTTGGGTCTGGAAACAGGGTACACAACTGCAGTAAATGCTAGTTCTAGATTAGTATGCTATTAAAATAAAATTAGACATCAGGTGTCCCCCAACATGGGGATTGCCACATCCCACTTCACTGTGCAGCCTCCACCTGCCCACAGCTTCCCTCCTCCAGAACACTTCTCTCACGAGGACAAGACAAATATCCAAGTGTAAAAACATCTTTCACAGTGCAGACAAGGCTAAATGCAGTCATACCATTGTTCATGTACTTGACCATCCACTTCTCTCATCTAGGAGGAATTGCATTTTACTAGTAATTCTTCCTGAGGCGTAGTTCTGATACGTTTTTTTGGAGCAGAATACTTCACTATGCAAAGGAGTTATTTTATCCCTTTTACACCTTCCAACTGTACTGTATAGTAGCAAGAGGATGGAGGGAGATGAGGAGCAAAAACTACCCTTAAAGTCCTCACACTTCCAGTGCAGGGTGATGCCACTCCAGATGCTTGTCCAGGCAGGGATATCCGGCTGGCCATCAGTCTCATCAGCAGCTGATTTGCCCAGGTTATTCCAAGTGCTGGAACAACTCTGTTACCCACTACCCTGTAAAGACAGTATTACACATTTCTGCACACACCAATTTCATATGAAATATCTTCACTTCTGTTGTAAGAAAACTGCACTGGAAGAAATGATCTACTGTTTCTCTATTTAACATTGTTTACCAAATCGAAAACCATAGTCTTTGAAGACAGAGGTGACAGGGTGTTCTCACAGAATTACATGCTAGGTTCTCTCTATGGCAAGGTAAGAGCTGGAAGGGCTTCTATGCAGAACTACTCATTCTTCCAAATACAGCCATGGGGAATACCTGCCTCTGGATGGGCCCCCTCTTTTGACAGGAAAACCACTAGAGAAAAATGATTGAACTCTAAGTGTTTGAAGTGTGTAACTGTTGGCCCTGGATTCCATTTGAGGGTATATTTAGAAATGCTGGGTAAATATAACACTGCATACATACTACTTTCAACCCAAAGTTTAAAACAAATTTTTTTCATGGAGAAAGTGCAATTTCTCCAGTAAAAGAATTACAAGATAACCAGGGAAAAAATAATAATTCAATCTTATCCATGTTCTGTGTTAGTTTCCGAATCTGGTGGTCACAGAGGAATCCTCACAAACAGCCATTTATGTAGCACTCAGCTCATGTAGTAAATCAAGGTTAAAGTCAGGATTCAACCAACAAATTCAAACCTTTTAATCCTGTTAATATCTTGGTGTCAAAAGATACAATTTTGGGTTTTTTTCTGAACCCACTAAGGTTTGGTTGCTGTAGTTTTTAAGCAGACAGAAAATGCACTCAGTTGTATCAGAGATGAGATGCAAAAATACTCCTGTGTAAGCAAGGACACCAGGCATTAACTCCAGGGACGTTTTCCTGCTAACTTGCTGATGAGGAGTTATGACCTAAGTGTAGATGACAGCTTCTCCCCCTTTATAGCACATGAGTTAGTGCTGATCTCCAGCAAACACAGCATTGCTGGGTAAATGCCCTACTGCCCTTCACACGCTCTGGTAGTTTATGGAGTTACAAAAAATACAGTGTTTAAATGCTGCTGTGTTTGACATTGTTACCCTCTGCTGGGGATGACTCACCTACAACTGCACTGAGCAGCTTCCAACTCGCTCACTGCATCTGTCACCTAAAGCAGAAAAACAACATTTGCAGATGACCTGTGCTTGTGTATTTGTGTTTAGCGAGCAGGAGGGCAGGGAAGGGAACAAAGACAAGAAAATCCAAGTTATCAGATCATACATGAAGCCAAGTTAGAAACCCCTTATTCTTTCAAGGCAAACTAAAAGGGATTTGTGAATTACAAGCTGAGTTTACAGTGCTAGAACTATTTAGCTAGCTACAGCCTATTTGAATTAAACTACTTCTAGATGCTTTGTTTAAAAAAAAAAAAAAGAAAAGAAAACACAAACAAAAAACCCCACACTCACAAAACTGTTCCAGTGCTATAGCTGGAGATAAAAAGTACTGAGGCCCAAATCTCCAAAAAATATCCTGTTCTCAATGATTTCATGACCTTTGAATTTTCCCATCAGTGACCTGCCTGCACATTTACTTACCCCTTTCTGAGGCCATATTCCAATTGTGAGTGCTTCACCTCCAGCATTCACAAGCTCCTTCAATTTGTGAGTGGACTAAGAGCAGTGTCTTGCCTTGTTTTCTTAAAATAATATTCTTTTTGACCACTATCATTGTGGCCTTTTTTTGTTCAGCTCATGTCAGCGCATGCATTCTCGTGCTTTAGTAATCTCAGCAGTTACACAAAAATGCTGAGCTCCACAGAAATGCAGCAAAGTCCCTGGTGTTTCACTGTCTCCTGGAATATAACTGCGCCTGCAGAGTTCCCAGAGCAATCCTGCTGGCAATGGCATTTGAAGCCAGTGTTAGGAAAAAACTCTTGTTATTTTGTTTTGATCTTTTGTGCAGTTGCTATACATTCCTATTTTCGTTAGCTTCAGTGCGCAACTTTTGAGAATGTTAGCGGTCTATAAAAGCTCAGATGATGTTCTTAAATTTTGAATAGAAAATTTACTAGTTTAAAGTACATCAGTTTAAGGAAGCTTCAGTTTCCATCAGTCATTAATACTCAGCTGACAGTGGTAAATACACCGCCATGAAACTGGCACACAGAGAGTGCACCATCATCCTCCAGCCATTTATTAAATGGTCCCTCTAGAATAAGCAGCAATTTTGATGCCATACCTGATTAATGCACATTATTGGAGTCCTGAATCTTGTGCTTAAGCTGTGAAGCTGTGCTCCAAAGGTCTGCAGATACCGAGCCTTCATGACGGACTCCGACGCCCCGAACTCGCAGCGGAACAAGGCGGCAATGGAGTCAATGACCACCAGCCTCACCATCCCCCTCGCCAGCAGCAGGGAAAGCCTCGTCGTGATGCACTTGTGGAAGGTGTCCTGCCACACACACAGACAGCAGTGAAACAGGGCAAAGAACTCCACTTGTCACACCAAAAGAGTAACTACAGGTATCGTCACTGCAACACGAGCTGAAGGAATTCCTAATCGTGAAGGGAACTTGTGGATCTTTAAGTCTCAGTAGTAACAATTTTTTTGCAAACATCTTGTGGTTTTAGTTAAGAAAAAAATGAGAAGACCAAACTGCATCCAACAGTTACCGGCAGCTCTGCCTTTTTAATTCTTCTACTGATATTTCAAAATCTCAAGGGTGCAATACTAAAATCCTAAGCGCAGAAACTGCATCTACACACAGCAACAATGAATTGTAATAATCTGTCATGCTGGACTTACCAGTGAGTGTAGTGTTTTACTTTTAAAGGTATTTTAGAGAGATTTACATACTACTAAAGGACAGTTCTCTCCTTTTTACAAAAACATACTCTGTAGCTTCCAGAAACTACCATTAGAACTTCAATTAATATTTCTAATGAAAAGGACACGGAAAAGGTGGCTTAGCTGCTGCCTGGACCACACAGTGAATAAGTTTGAAGCAAGATGATCTTACACTTGCAAACTACAATTAAAAAACGCAATAACTGGAATGATTCAACAGCTGCTACTTTCAAGCCTTAGAGAAAACAGAACTTCTGACATTCTATCAATAAAGAGCATACTCATGGCTACTTGAGAAAAGGCACAGAAATGGGTCTACAAGGCAAGAATACAGGATTGAGGTTCATTTATTTCTCCCTCCAGTTCTACTCTGACACTTTATAGGTAGAGGGGCAAGAGAGCTGCACTGCTGTGGTGATTTTTTGCCATTACCCATTCCAGGAATCCCTTTTCATATCCTTTCCTCCCGTCTGCAGTTTAACAACTGTGGTGTTATACTGCAGGATAGTCAGTACACACAGCAACTTTTGCATATACACTTATATCCTGTCTCCAAACTCAATGAAGGTCTCCCCAGTACCTGCAGTAGAACTGGTAGCAGTAAGTCTACTACATTTCAATAAACATAATGACTTACAAAATCTACTGCATGACTCATTCTAAAGAAATATTAATACTTATCTTTCAATATATTTCATAGTAAAACTCCAGTAGTTCTTTAACAGCAAATTGCAGATTAAGTAGTATTTATTCATTACAGATCTTAGTTTACTCTCAGCCTTTTGAAAGGTCTCCTATATAAAAAAACACCCCGTGGTTACTGGATTACAGTACAATAATTATGCATTCTTATTTTGTGCTACTACTTACTAGGTCTGCTGCATGCTCAACAAAAATACTGTTTCCAAATTTGATCTTCTGTATGATTTCAGCTGGAACATCTGCACGCAGCTTATGTTGTTGGCCTATGAGTTGCTGCAAACGTTTACTTGGGAATGCATCTTCTGTGCAAATGTAGACAGCTCCTGCAGCCAAGGAAACCACCTGTGGTTACAACAGGGCTCTTACACAGTTTTCTTAATAGCACAAAAATAAAATAAGACATTCTGCACTCAAAAGCTACACATATGTACCTGGAAGTTCCTGTTACTTTGTTTGCAACCATATTGAATCGATGATGAACAAAAACCTCAATCCTGTGACTTTGCTGGTTTTGCCAGGTTTTGCCTTTTTTTTTGGTGCCTTCTGACACAACTGGATGTTGTCCCCTCCACTGGGTGACGCTCCTTGTACACAGCTGTGGAACACCCGACCACCTACTCTGGGTGAGCAGAAGTATCATATTTATCCAGCCTACAAATAAGAGGGACACTGTGTGGTCTGCCCGTTTCAGCTAGAAATCGAAAACACAGCACCAGACCATGAAGAAAATTACCTATCCCAGCCAAAACCAGTACAACTAGTATTTTGATTCATTTCACTCACTGTTTTCTGGATTCTAGGTTTTAAATCTACACATGAAGGGGTACTGATTGCCACAATTTCTAAGCCAGTTTAAAGAGGACCACTCATCCAACCTCATTCCAATTAACTCTTCCTAAAAATGGTAATTAGATTAAAAAAAATTATACTTCAATCACATTACTGTGAGTGATGTCTAAATATTATCACTGTGGTTTCTAGTGAACAAGTAATGCAGAGAAAATTAACCATACCCATCAAAGATGTTGGGAAAAGAAAACAAAAATACATGCAGTATTTTCCTTACAAAAAATTGTTACTGTTATTGCAGAACTAATCAGAGTTAACAGCTAAGATTTAGAGGGCTACATCCAAGGATTAAGCCCACTCACTGAAGTGGCTGGAGCTGCCAACACAGCTTGGCAGATGATGTGTTTGGCAATATGAGACATCCTGAACATTTCCACCCCAATGGTGCATCCCTACACTGGCTCTCCAGGAAGTGCAGAGTCCCATTTCCAGATGCAACATCCAAATCCTCTACACAGTTCACTGAAAAAAACATGAAACTATATCCAATAGTGGAAACAGAAAGATCTCAGGACTAGATCAAATAAAAATTATTGGTTATTATATCGATAAAAATATTTTGCTGATAGACACCTGTATAAGACAGGGTATTGAATCCTGATAATTTTCTATATGAGACAAAGATGAGTCTAAGCCCAATTTATTTTAGGACTAAAACTGCATCTTCATCTTAACTTTCCCCAAAGTCACTGTGAATTCACATGTGAACACCCTTCACATGTGAAATGTCAAAGGAATTTTAAAGTTCAAGTGAACACAGTTATTCAAGTAATTTTTTTTATCTAAACCTTTGTAAAAAAAAAAATCTAATTCTTCCTTAAGAACAGTTCTGCTTCATAGAGTATTTCCCACCTCAGTTTAGTTTTGTAGAGCTACAAGATATTGGTAAACTACTAAATCAATATTGAAGACCGATGCCTAATTATGAGGCAAAAGCATTTAACAGGCACACATCTTTAAAGATAAGTGAGTTGTCACGACCCAAATAAAAAGAGGAGAGTTGTACAACACAAACAGAAAAGCCTGTGGCATCCTGCTATTTGCAGATTATTAGGAAGCTGCAAGTTAATAGTTAGGGTAGTTACCACGTTTGAGAAATAAGCTGACAGAGACTCTTAAGGAGTCAGTCAGTGATCACCTAAACATCTTTCCTCCACAAAACCCAGATATCAGCTATTTCATCAAATCTGTTATTCAGGCCAACAAATGTGCTATGGTGGTTGTTGACAAAAAGCACCCCCCAAAAATCAATCAAACAAAAATAAAAACCACTAAAACCCCATCCCCCAAAAAGGACAAGTTTTGATTCCTCTGAACATAATCTTTCATGCACCAAGACAACTCGTTACCAAGAATCAGTAGCAAACACAGTTTTCTAATTCAGAATTCCAATATGAATATTAATTTGTCCCATTATATTCACATATTACTTATGAATATGGGCATATAAAATAAATTCAGCCAATATGCAACTGAACACAACTGACATTCCTGGAATGGCAGAAAGATATCCTGGAGGCAAAGGATGCCTTTGTTTACTTTCAGGAGTTCTTTGTTGCCAACCTCCTAGCATTGAGAATTATAAACAAGAATAGCACTAAGTCAAATGAAGTAAATGCAGAATAAATCCATACTGTTTAAAGACACATATTTCAACATCACCACTTAAGAAAAGGGAAGTTTCTAAGCAGTAAAAAAATACAACCCACTAGCACTCAGATCAATCCTATACTGGTAGTGCTAGAGATGTATGAGAGTTTCGAAGCAGTGTTGTTCTCCTCAAGTTTCCTAAAGGATAAACTCCTCATATTTAACATAAGCTTTAATTTTTGTATTTCCCATCAGAGACTCAACACAACCCTTATTTACAGACTGCAAAAACATCAAGTTTCATTTTCTAAGTGCTTTGCAAAGAGCAAAAGCACTTTTTGCTGCTATGACTGCGTGCAGCCTAACAGATGGCAAGATACCCCACTGTGAATAAGAACAACTAGAATTAGGATTCCACCTCTTCTTTAGCTCTCCAACTTCAGCAGCAGGGTATTTCCACCTTCTATACCTTCAAGTTCTGTCCTCTGAGCCCTCCAAAATGTTCTGGTTCTCCATTCTATCCTACCTTCCAGGAAACACTCGGGAGCAGGTAGATGGGGAACACAGACATGACAAAGCAAATGTAACAGCACTGAGTGTCTGGGGCATAAAAACTAGGATCATCTTCAAACACAAATAATGAAAAGGCTTGCCATCCTGCAGCCTACAAGCAAGACTGTATTCTGGTACAAGAGACCAGAGTGCCATTAGGATGTTGGGCACCTTCTTCTGTACCTCATTCTGGTTTGTTTCTTTATTTCAACATAAAGAGGGAGAAGTGCTGGAGCAGGACTAAAAATGTATTTGCATCCTATTTGCAGCAGTTAGCAGCACCACACAAAGGAATCAAACACAATATACTTGCTTCTGATTAATGACATAACTTAGAGTAATGTAAGCCAGGAGCTAATTATGGTTCTTTAAGCAAGATCTTAATTTCTGCATTCCATGATTTTTCCACATAGGTGGATAGAGTTCAAGAAATTATTATGTTTCCCCACAACAAATCACTGAGCTGCCAAATAAAGCCAGTGCTGCATGGAAGGCACAGAGAAAGGCACGGAGAAAGTCACATCTAAGGCAGACTACCAGGACACCAAACTCTCAGAAGTGACACAAGTTTCCTCCCTTTCTAAGGCACCATACAATAGTAAAAAAAAAAATAAATAAAATAAATTAGGAGTTAGTTAGATCAGTGTGATAGAAGAGGAAAAAATATACTCAAAGAATAAACCTGTATATTTAGAATTCTGCTTAAAGACATCACTTTGGCAAATCCAGGAAAATCACAGCTACAAAACAATGTTGCCTTCCTTCAATTACATTTCCATCAATTTTACTCTGTAAATCACTATTATTATTGTTTATCAAACAAAATATTCTTTGAAATTTCAAAACCCCAACTAGGGAATATATACCACGTACCCGAGATGTTTGTGGAAAATTACCTGTCCAGCTGTTTTGTTGAGGTTGTTACCTGAGGAGTCAATGGGTACCCCTGACAGCAATACTTTTCTTATATTGTTTGAGTGTGTTTAGTTTAACCCAGAGTGGCAGGCGGGCAAACAACAGCCAACAGTAATTTTGAATTAAATTATCCTGTGCTGCAGGACATGTGCACAGCATGCTCTACTCTCTGTAAAGGTGCATTACTCACTAACCAACTTATTACTGAGGTTAGACATGCACTGAACATGTGCATCTACTTCAATGATGTTCTTAAAGGCAGTATATTCCTCCAAATGGCAAATTAATCAGTGTTTACATTTCAGCACTTACCAGACTCTAATCCACCATATTTGTAAGGATACTGCACACACAGGCACAGCTGTAAACTAATCTGAGTCTTCCCAGCAGAACTTTCCCCAGCAAGCTCTGTGATTCCCACTAAAGGAATGCCACCTTTTAACAAGTTATCCAGCACTGAACATCCCAGGCTCAGCTTCTGGCGTTGGGAGGTGAGATGATCATTATCTTGGTAGAGCTGAAGTGCTGCAGTGTTTGGGATTTTTTTTAACAATTTAAAAAAAAAAAGAAAGAAAAAAAAGAGTTTCATTTATTATCTTTCTAACAGAGGCTGTCTACAAGGTTTATATCTACAAGGGATGCTTTCTTTGTTGATGGAGAATTTTCCTAATTCAGGATGGTCTTCTCCAGTTTCCTTTCCCCACAAAGCAACTACTGAATATCTGTTCAAAAAGTGGTAATTTACACTGAGCCCTTTTCCTCCTCTCAAACTTTTTTCCCTTTCTCTGCCTCCAAGGTGTCTCTATGGAAAGCTACACTCTGGGAAAGCATTGACAGCAAGGTTCAAGCCCAGCAATTATGGAAATGGAAAGCTATAGCAGAGTGTAAAACAGCACAGCAGGCACCTGGCCAAGGCCTAAAGACATATGCAATCACAAGAAAATAAATCTTAAGTACAGAGCTGTCATGAAGCATTTGTACAAGAAGAACTATTATGTCCTGCTTGATTTGGAATGAGGTGTTTTTACCAAATCAGTTTATGCAGCTTTTAATATATACGTTTTGCAACCACTCGTAGTCCAAAAGGAAAATGGTGAGCGAGAAAGAGCATGTGAAAGAAAAAGGAAATATCTTGTTCCTCTAATTAAGTTTTTCAGACTGGAGAACCATTTTGTCTTGTTTCAAGCAGGTTTGATCCTGAAGAACGACACCCATCTATTTCCATCTACTCCCAAGTCTCCAGGGAGCTGCCCTTAGGATAGTTAAATAATTCACTACAGTGTAAGAAAAACACTTGCATTTTCATTTTTAAACCACATTACTGTGTCAGTGAGGAGCCAGAACCATGTTTTCTCCCAGTGACAGTTATTTTAAGTTTTAAATAGAACCCCTTTTTTGTATTGACTACATTACCTGTGACCAGGCTGTTCCTCCTCAGTGTGCGAGAGACTGTTTTCAGCAGGCACTGTATGTCTGCACTGGAGAGCTTCATCAATCTTTGCAAGTCTGCTCCAGAAAGGTTTAAAATCTCTTTTACTGATTTGATGTCAGCTGAAATCAGAAGAACTTTTATAAATACTTTTGGCTGGATGACAGTCTTAACACAGAAAAGTTTTCCCAACTTCTACCACTCGTTTGCTTAAAGTTTATCTACACTGCATTCTTGTAAGGTGGGCAGGAAACACTCGCCTGGAATGTATCAACACATGCTACAGAATTGTTTGGAAAATGATTACTGGAGCATGGGCAAACAGCCTTACTTCTAATTACTCAAAAATTTGTTTATTAAATACTTAATTATAGTTCTGAAGTGTTAATGTCCATCTACAGGCTTACACTCACAGACAGACAGTTAGACAAAGGAAGACACTGTAGTAGCAGATCTGTTAGTGAGACTTTGGCAAATTAAGTTACCTTTCTTCAAGGCAGCAACTGTTCTAGGGTTCAAGTCAAATTGGTCCCAGTCCATTTCCTGACACCGCACAGGGACGAGCAGAGCATCACGTAATTATCTGTGATTAAAGCAGCTTTTATTGCAGACACATGCAAGGAAAAAAAAAAGCATAAATCAGTATCAAAAGTTTCTAGGACCTTTTTTTTTAACAATGTACATAACAGTTATCTCAGAGAAGTAACAATTATTCTGGGATTATTATTATTATATTCAACCCACTGGCAGAAGTCTTTCTCAGATGGCTGCTTACATATATCCTACTAAAGAGTTCAACTAATAATCCTGCAGTTAAGAACTATTAGTAATTTTAATTGCCTGTGTTTCTGGACAGTGCTTTTGCTCTGAATCTTGCAAATACACTGGACAGTCATTTCTACCCTGACACTCTTCACGTGAGCTTTTCATTCTCAAATAGAAAAAAAATCTCACACGTGCAATTTGGGATGACCCATGACTACTCATGCATTGGACAGTCAAATACGCATTTATTACCTAAAAGCAAATTTAATATTAAAACGTTAAAATCCGTTCGTTTCTTGTAACAACTTTGGTCTAAAACACAACACTCTGGGTGCCTAGAGGAGTACTGTGAGGTTCTCAGTATTATTCTGATAATGTTTATGAGGGATAGCGGCAGACACTCCCTCATAACTCCCAGGAGTTATGTGAGAATATATGATTTTATGAACAATCCCTTTTCCAACATGGGGAGGAGAAGCTGTGATGGATACTGATGTCAGACCAAATACAAGAGAAGAAACAGTTACTTTGAAGCAATACCTATTTAAAGTAACATTCTGACAAGGGTTAGACTTACTGGAGTCAACCATGATTACGACGACCCTTGACTGAGGGGCTCCAAAACATTGCGCACGCTCCGCTCACTCTGATGAGGCACCGGGGAGAAGGGAACACCGGGAGCGGGTCACGGGGCAGCGAGGGGTGTCCCACGGGCCCGGCACCAGGCAGGGGGAGCGGAGTGCAGACACACTGCGGAAGAACAGACAGACGGACACAAGGACCACCTCCCCGCCCTCACTCGTCACGAATCCCCGCAGCCAATCAGCGAGCAGCTCGCCCGCCGCGGGCCAATCAAAACTCCTCCCAGCGGCCGCCCCGGCGGGACAGCCAATGGCAGGGCGCCGGTCGCCCCCGCCCCCGCCCCGCGGGGCCGAACCGTGCCCGGAGCCCCGGGCGGGCGCTGCCGCACCGGCCGCGGGCCCTCGGCGGAGCCGCGGGAGCCGAGCCTGCCTGCCCGCCCGCTCGGGGAGCGGCTGCGGCGCCTCCTACAACGTGGAACTCGGGAGGGTGCGGCTGAGGCGCCCGCGCGCTTCGCTTCCGGGTTGTGGTGCCGAAGGGGCGGGGCGGGAACAACGCGCCCGCCTCAAGCCCCCAAGCGACACGCGATTGGCTGGGGCGCTCATCCCGGGTAGGCGGGACGCTGGCAGTTCGCTCTTCCTATTGGTTACGCGCCGTGCCCGTTCCGCGGGACCGCCCGGCCATTGGCCAGCGGGGGTGCCCGTCCCGGGGCCGAGCGGCGGCCGCGGCGGCGCGCGGGGGAAGATGTCGGGCGGCGACGCCAAGAAGCTGGTGCGGTCCCCGAGCGGGCTGCGCATGGTGCCCGAGCACCGCGCCGCCCGCAGCCCCTTCGGCCTCGACGAGCCGCCGTGGGTGCCCGACAAGGAGGTATCGCCGCGGGCGGGGGTGCCGCACTTCCCTTTCCCCTTCCTTCCCCCTCTCTTTTTATTTCCCGTGCGTTAATAGATTAAAGGACGCAAGGCTGGGGCTGTCACTCGCTCTTCAGGGGTGTTGCGGCCCCATCACAAAAATTAGCGACTTGCTGAGTTAAAAGTATCGCGACCTGAGCAGCGTTGCTTTAAATGCTTATAAAGGTTGTTCTGAAGGCTTCAAGTGCTTACGAAGGTGATTCTGAAGGCTCTGTAAATGTAAAAGTAATTATACACCATGTTAAGGCGATAAGGCTGAGTTAGAAAAGCCCTTCTGGCTCCCGGTGCGAATGTTCGTGGTGTTAAACAAGCACTGAACAACTTAAAAGTGTTTCAGTCGACTTTGCTTTTATACACCAAGTAAACAATGTGATCGTGGTATTATATCTAATTTCATGTAATATGCGCTATTTGTTGCCAGTCCCCACAGCCAGATGATAATGCAACATAGAACCGATTGTTTGTTTATTTATTTATTCTGTGGTGTGGACACACGCCAGTGCGTTTAAATGTGACCGGAATGGAGATTTACTTTAGATGAGCCAACGTGAATTTAAGCCGGGAGTCACCAAACAAAGCCATTCTTTGGCAGATACGGACGTGGCTGGTCTGTTTTGTGTGGGAACATTGTGTCCTCCCTTGGCTAGGAACGAGGAAGAAAGTTTTTTTTCACTCTACCTGGTATCTCTTGAGGCAGAAAGTTCTGTGTAAAAGTAATTAATTAATAATTCTGGAGACTCACTCTGCCAGCACAGCTTCTGCATCTCAGGCCCACCTGAGCTGCCATAAGGGGGATGAGCAGTAAATCAGCTGCTGGTTTTGTCTGAAATAACAACCCTTTTTTTGGGAAGTGACTTTTTCAATTTATTTTAATAAACAAGCAATCTGCTGAAATACCTAGTGTGAGTTTCCTCAAGTTATTCTCTTCCATGCTTAGAAAACCCATGACTAGCAGCTGTTTTCTGTCTTATATGTAAGACAGCGATTTTCTGTTTTATAAGTAAAATAAGATAAATTTTCAGTGGCCGGAGCAGGGTGTCCTTGGAAGTCTGGGCTGAGCTGCCCAGATTCCCACCCAGCTGGCACCGTGTGTGCTCTGGGGCTCTGGGTGTGCTGCAGGTGGGGCGTGTGTTTATCTGTGAGCTTGTGGCAAAGTCTGAGCAGTTATTGTGCAAGTGCCTTCCCTTTGTGCTTTGCTTCTGCTGTGTAGGTGAGTTGCTGCACCCCTGTGCGCTCACCTGGGCCACCTGGAAACCTGATTCCTGACAGATATAATTTGTGTAACAGTTAAATTGAAACTGGTTTTCTCCTTGACCTTCTGAAATGCAGTTTAGCATGTCAGTAGTTCTTGATTATAGTAGGCTGGTTACATTAAGGAAAACAAGGTACTTAATCTAATACACAGACCCATCTTAATTCTATTAGAGGTTGTTTGAGGGTTGTAGTAGGGTTTATTTAAACTAGTTGGATATGTTTAGAGACATCAGCCTGATGTGTGTTGTTAGTTTGAATTTTATGTTACAGTTGCACTGCAGGTATTCATTCCCCTTAAAGTTCAGCTTTTCCCCATAATCGGCTGGTCTGATGGTGTTGAATTGAGACTGAATGTTGTCTTTGCATCAGGCTCAGTGATATTTGCTGTTGAGAGGAAGTGTCTTACGGGCAAATGTTTTAAGTGCATTTGTTAATGCCAGATTAAGAATATGAATTGTTATTTTGTAACTAGTTATTTTACTAGATTTCGTAAAGAATTTTGAAGTTCTGAAATCCCTTTGGTTAACAATTGCCAAATGTGTTACAAACTTTTCCCTCAAAGAAAGCAAGTATGTGATACACAGGGAAGCTTAGAAATACCATGTTTTTGCTAAAAAAATGAAATTTAAAGAGACAGTGTTATCTATTTAATGAATTAGTTGAGAACTATTGATCTTGTTACCATGTCAGACATAATTAAAAACTAAGTGTCTTTGTCCAAGACAAGACCTTGACTGGTATTAGACAATGCTAGTCTGGCTTTTCAAATCCATTGGCTTCTGCTGTGCAGCCAGTAACACTCACAAACTCAGTAGCTTTATTTTTCTTATGCAGGGAGAGTCTACCATCTTGGTTTTTTAAAATTAAGGTCACCTATGACTTATGGCAGTTAGTTTTGTGAAGCTTATATAGCATTGAAATATAATTCAAGTTATTAATTTTATGGCACAAGATTATACAGTCTTAAAATATCAGTTACTTTGAGGAATTTGAAGTCTAAGGCTGAAGCAGTACTATTGAAAACTTTGCTTTTGGTAGTCTTATTTGTAATACAGATAGAGAGTTGAGGTGGATAATATTGTGAACATCTGTGCTGAGCATCATTAAACTTGAGACAGAGCTTAAAATGCTGGTCACTGCCTGTGTCTTTTCTGACTCAGAATTTCTTTGTAAATCACCAGCACAGCTCAGCTGGTGATGTTTCTATTAAGGAAATCTTGGACTAGAAATCGAGTAAAGTTTGTCAGTTTGGCTGCAGAGGTGGCCAGACCTCGTGACATCCAGCTGTGCACCAGATGCTTCCATGGCTGAGGAACACTGTGTGCTGCACAGGAACTCACAGATGTGGTGAAAGTGGTTCCCTGGGGTTCCTCAGTCGCTGCAGGAGGGAACTGAGCTTCCCAGAGCAGGGTCCTCCCTTGGCTCGGGCTCTCAGAGGTGGCACTGGTTGTGTGGCAGAGCTGCCCCTGGAGTGCTGGTGAACTTGGGCAGCTGCAGTACCAGAAAGCACCATGAGCTATATCTGGCCCGAGTTCCCTTGTGCCATTTCCCATGCTGGCACCATCTGCTTTGGTCCGGTGTGTTCCTGGGTGGGATTTGGGCAGCTCCTTAACTTCCACGTTTGCAAACGTTCACTGTGTTAACGAGCTGAACCAGGTGTTCCTGTGCCTCACTTCTTGAAATGCTGTGTTATTATATATGCAAATAAAGCATGTGAAGTGTAACTAAAACTTCCTGTCCATCTGTGGGAGTCTCACCTCTGGTTGGATCTGTGATATTATGAAAATCAGTTACCACACTTGAGCAGACACCTGAGAAATTCCACTCTATTTGTAATGAACCAGCTCTCGGTATTTTTAAATTAATACCAAGATGCAACAACTGTTGGATGCTCTTCCATTTTCCTCTTGCCAAATGAAGTAATCTGATATCAGTGGCTGATTGTACGTGAAATGAATATACTTGTGACATAATTTTTTTTTTTTTACATCTTTTTTTGAAGATATGAAAAATAACTTGGACATCGTGCTTCCTTCCCTCTAAGTGTGATAAAACCCCTTCAAGCAATAAAGCTTAATTCAATACTTGTCACTCTCTAATTCTGTCAGTGTGCGGATGAATACAAAAAAATCACCTTTCAGGATATTCTACAATAAAGGTCTTGTCCCAGGCAAAGCAGAAGTTGATATTATACAAATGGATTCACTTGGTTCTGGTTACTTAAAACAGAAATGCCCTTAAGGAACAGTGTATTGAACCTACTTGTGTCAGAACATTTTCCTAGTAAAATCCCATTCTGCAGTGCCAACTACCATATGCCATTGGACTTGTGATTTATTTATGACAGCTCTATATATCAGGCAGGGCTATCATCACGGGTCTGGAATTCAGAAATATTTTTCCATAGAGTTTGTGTTAAATAAGAGGATGGGTAATTTGACTTCTTCTTGAGAAGGACTTGTATGTTTAGCATAACATTGTGTATGAAATCTACATAGGACAGTATTTATAAGCGTTTGGTTTTTGGTTTTTTTTTTCTAGTTTGTGACTTGCGCTTTCTGCATTTTGCCAAAACACAAAGAAAAAGACCGAAACCAATAAAAAACAAACAAACAAAAACATCACCATGCAAACCCAACCAAAAAACTTCCCACTTGGTTGCATTAAGTATACCAAAATTGTTGCCAGGTCCAGCTCCCAGACAAGCAACACATCAAAAATTAAGACACTCAGTCAAGATCAGTGTAGAATAGAACCTGGTATTAGCTGTCTGAGTTACAGACATGAAACCTGGGGAATGCTGAAGGTACTTCATGCTGAAGGTTATTAATCAGTGAGTGTTGGAATAAGCTTTTGTACAGCCGTTGTGAAAAGAGGTGGTTGGATGCCTTAGCTCTGTGTGTGTTATTTGAGACGGTTCAGGAACATTTCTAGTTCTCTTTTGTGTGGGATTTAGAAACAGCTTGTTGTAACAAATTCTACAAGTAGCTGTTGATGTTCCCTTACAGTGACTGCCGTTACTCTCTAATGTGTTAAAAGTCTTTTTAGACATAAGAATGTTTCATGTAAACTATTGCCAATTATTAACAAGCTTACACTTCAGAAGAACATGAAAGTTTCTAGAGAATTTTTAATTTAGCTGCTGTAATATTTTTTTTGCTATATTTGCTGAACTTGTGACTGATTGAGTATCTGCTGGAGCAAAAGTACCTCTATAGAAGCTGTTGTAACCTGAAGGGATT